AATAGTATAATATTTGAGAATTATGATTAACTTGAACCAACCCTTTTACATAGAAATTACTCATTGCGGGAATGCGCCATTAATTATCATATTTGTGTACTTTGTGTCTACATTTTAAAAATATTTTTAAAAAAAATTAATTTTTTTTATTTTTTTTATTTTAAATTAATATATTTTTAGTATTTTTAAATTATTTTTATATATTAATATCAAAAATGTTTTTTAAAAAATAAATAAATTATTAATATATATTTTAATATAAAAAATTATTTAAAAAATTACCTCAAATAAAAAAGCTCTAAAAATATGGTTTCCATTGCCTTCTCAACGTGGCTTTATGATCTTTTAGCACAGAACTTAATGCCTTCAATTTCCGTAATTCCTGTAGGCTTTGGTTGAATATTTTATTATATTTTCTCGAATTCTTTTGTGAATCTTACTGTGTCTTGCATGCGAGTTTCGTAATCATGATTCAGTCTGGGTCAAAGGAACGTCCTCTGTTTAGAAGGTAAAAAGAAACGTAGAGGATAATAAAACAATAGCCAAACAAACCACTAGATTCCAACCAATAAGAAATGGAGGCTCATGACCCATTTCAGTAAATACAACCTAGGCCCATCTAAATCTTTTTATTTTATTTTTAAGATTAGCCCTATATTGATAAACACATTTAAAGAGGGGGTTTGAGAAGGTAATAATAATTATTTTTTAAAATATTTTTAATAACGAAATACTAAAAAATTAAAGTAACAAAAACTATTAGCAATTGGTTTTTAGATTTTTTTAAAGAAATTATTTTTTACATCTATATATATATAGAAATAATTTAAAAAATAAAAAAAATATTTGTTTACAAAACTTTTTAAAAACAAAAAATAAACGTGATAATTTACCTAAGTAAGGTGACTGATGGACGAAATAGAAGAAAGAAAAGGACATGATAGAAGGTGGACAATCTTTTTAATCCTTTTATGAAAAATGTCAACTCTCAGCTCGCTGTAAAAGGCATGGAAACTGGCAATCATTATAGTTGAAACGGTGCACGATGCCATCAATGGAGTATCATGAAATGCCTCGGTTTCTGCAAGCTTACCAAGAAATATTTTATCATCACTAATGATCTAGCACCAAAAATAAAATAAAATAAAAAAGTAAAAAAACCCATGGAGTAACCAGCCAAAATATCATAATAAACATAGAACTTTATGAAAAAAATTTACCATTTACATAATGGAAATTTTTTACAGTATACCTACCTTGTAAGAAATTCTATAACCATGAGTGGAGTAGTTGAGTTTATCAACTTTAAATTTATTTTTAAAAAATTATTAATTTAATTTATAAATTTTAGACTAAGTGAAGATTTATTTGATTTTTAATTTTAATATCTTGAAAGATTAGTAAAAATACATGTATATTAGTTTTAACAACTATTATTATTAAAAACAAAAAAAAACCTTCTCTATATTTAATGGTTATGTTTAAATGCGTGTTTAGAAATATAATTATGGTTGTTTTTTAAAATGTTTGTCATTTAGAAAAGTATGTTAATAATTTTTTTATTTTTAAAAAATTATTTTTAAAATTAATATATCCAAATAATTTAAAAGTATTAAAAATATATTAATTTAAAATAAAATTTAAACTTTTTTAAAAATATTTTAAAAATACACTCTCAAACATACACTAACTAGTGGCAGCGAGGATCCTATAAGATTATATTGTAGCTTCTTGTAGTGCCTTTTTTCCTGCTGGCAGTAAGGTCGTGTATTCCACAAATAGCTTCTGGTTGTTGGTGGTGGAATCTATGCTAAATTTTGCAGCTTTATCCATTATCATAAAATAAGTTGGGAAATTTTTATTTGTTTATTTTGATGGGAAGGGTGTAATTTGATATTTTTTGCAAGTTTGATGATATGTAAGAGTTTAATCATGATTGTAGATGGTGAATCATATTCACCTAATAATTTCTCAAAACTATTATAAAGTTGTTGCACATTTCACTAATTTTTACAATAACTCATTGAATTGATGATTTCAATAAATTTAATGATTTATAAGAGTTTATTAATTCATACATACGAATTCACCATATAATTTTTAAAATCCATAAGAATCCATATGTAATAATGTTTTACTTGCAACTTATTACAGTTAAATCTTTATAAATTAATATTACTAGGACCATGAAAATTTATTAATTAATCAAGATCTTATTTAAACTTTAATTTTAAGTCAAGACCAAACAAACATATTATTTAATCAAGTTTATTAAGGTTATATAGTAGTTAGGTAATTGTTTTATTTGAAAAATTATTAAAACAAAACTAGAGAGTGGTGATTTCAATGTCATTTTGGATTTTAACAGTGTTTTAGTGTATTTTCTTCTTTTTTTTCTTTTCCTTGGTTTTTTGGCTTTTTTAATTTTGGTCTTTATATTTATTCTCTTTAAAATTGTGTTTATTTGAAATTGAACTTAGTTATGTTTATTTGGAATTTAACTTGGTGGTTTGTTTTAGTTACTTTGGTTATGAGATCTTGAGGTATTGAAAAAAACATTATATCACTAGGTTTGATGAAATTAAATGAAATTTTATTGATTTAAAATAATTAAGGTTGTGAGAATCAAATTTTAACAATAAACAAGTATTTAGCCCATTTTTCTTGAAAGAATCAAGGACTTAATTGCACAAGCAATTAAAAGATCAACACCATTATTTTTTTCTAATTTTATTTTTTATTTTGATCTTTTTACATTGAATTTATTTGAGATAATATTTAATAGTGTTTTTTAGTTGCCTTGATATGGTATCTCACAAAGACCGAAAAAAAATTATAATATGTGATTGATATTTGATTTTACAAAATAAACTTTAATTTTATTGATTCAACACAATTAAAAATTAAAAGATCAAATTTGAAATTAAAAATAATTACAAAGATTGAAATAACAAACAATGGCAAAGAGGTTGACATGTGTAAAGAAAGTCATCGTGCTTTAAAGGCGCATGCAACTTACACCAATGCTAAAATGCCCTTTTTCTTGGTGAAGTTGGAAGTGTCTCGATAAAGATTTGTTGGTGAAGTGACGCGTGTGGATGTTCGAGGCACATGTATTTTCATTTTTAAACAATGACAAGGAGGTTGACATGTATAAAGAAAGTCATCGTGCTTTGAAGGCGCATGCAACTTACACCAATGCTAAAATGCCCTTTTTCTTGGTGAAGTTGGAAGTGTCTCGATAAGGATTTGTTGGTGAAGTGACGCGTGTGGATGTTCGAGGCACATGTATTTTCATTTTTATTTTTTATTTTTTTTCTCTTTTCCTCTCTCCCTTTATTCTTTTTAAAAATTCTCTCCAGAATAGCAATGTGTCTTGTCTTTTTATTTTTATATCAAATTTGAATTTTATTTTTTTATTGTTATTTGTTTTATTTTTTAAAATTAAATTTTTTTTGTTTAATTTCATTCATCAACATTAGGTTGATTGGAAAGTGAACTTCATGATTTTTTTATGATTTGCTTATATGAGGTAATACCAGTCTTTTGACCTAGGTCATAAATTTAAAAAATTAGCTCAAATTCACTTTTGTATTTTTCTATTTTCTTTTCTATTTTTTTTTAATTTCACTCTTCAACGTTGAATTTATTAAGGATTTTCTTTTCATAATTTGTTTTTATTTTTTTTTATGAAATTATTTTGATCTCTTGATTTGGATTGTAGGTTTAACAGGTTATCTCGAATTGAATTGGTTCTTATTTTTTCTTCACTTTTTCTTTAAATTAATTTTTTTCCTTTAATTTTTCCCTTCAGCCTTAGATTGATTTGAAAATTTAATTTTATAATTTTTTTTTAATTTTTATATAGAGTTATCATGATTACAAGATTTAAGTTGAGGGTTTGACAAACAATTGTGAATCAACTTTTTATTCTTTTTTAAATTAATTTTTTAAATTTTATTTTTTAATATTTACTTGGTTTCAAAAAAAATTTTGAAGTTGTTTCCTTCTCATTATATAAGTTGTGTTTTTTTATATTAAAAAAATAATATCTAGATAATATCAATAATTTTTAAAGAAATAAAAAAAATCTAAAACCTAAATTATTGAATTTGATCCGACCAAAATGAAAAGTAATATATGTGATAAAGGACGAACCAATGAAATGCTCTATAAAGGATGTGAACAAAACTTTGATCATTACACCTCAATTTCAAATGCAATAACGTTTTCGACGGGAGATTTTCATAATAAATAAACACCTTTTTTCCTTATGGTTCAACCGTATCCCAAAATCACATGTATCCATGATTCTCGAGACGACACTACGGAGTTTGCTTTTACTATTACTGTTGAACAAGGCACAACCTCCTACTAAATGACTTGGAAAACTTTTAACTCAAAGGCAGGTTTTACGTGAAAATTGTTTTGATATTGACTCAATTAAATTAATTGATTTAGTTAGATTAACTCATGATTTAATTGATTAAGTTAAATTTAATTTTAAAAAAATAAAATAATGAAATGATTTATTTTAAATAAAATAATAAATTTATTTAATTCTGCAAATTGACTTAATAACTTAAATTTCTTTTTAGATTAGATATTGAATTAAATCTAATAATTATATATTCAAGTATCTTACAATGTGCTACAACATGCTATTGTAAATAGACTAGTTATATGACCCGCGCGATGCTGCAGGTTAACTTGTTTTGCATAAAAGATATTAAAAAAATTAAAATTTAGAAGTATTAGATTTTTTTGCAAAGCTACACCCAAGAGTTTTGGGTTTAGCTACAACGTTTGACCTGAGAATAATATTTATAATATTAATAACAACATTAAACTTGCATGACCAAAGTTTAAGTGGGTTTGGCTGCAATACCAGACCCAATAACATTGGATGTAGGTCTGGCTGTAAGGTGATGTCATAAAAGTATGATAATTAAATAGATTAATTAAAAAAACAAAGAAAAAACCAACAAAAAGAAAAAAATAATGATAAAAAAGAAAAAAATTCAGAATCAATTGAGTTAACTCGCCAAATCAGGTCAACCCGTCAAACATGAGATTCGTATCGTGAAAGTGTGATAATTAAATAGAAAAAAAATTAATATTAATGAACTAATTTAAAAAAATAATTAAAAAGGAAAAAGCAAAGAGAAAAATACCTACATGAAGGAAAAAACTAATGAAAAAGAAAAAAATATAAATCAATTGGGTTAAACCATCAAACCTAGGATCTGTGTCATGAAAGTTTAATAATTAAATAGAAAAAATTTAATATTAAAAAACTATAAATAAAAAAAAATAAACTAAAGGTATACGCTTTTTCACTGTGAATTGCACCATGCTTTCACAGTAAAAAGCTTTAAAAAAAAAGAAAAAGAAAAAAACAAAAACATACGCCACGAGTTAATTTTTTTCTTGAATAAAAAATATATATAAAAAAAGCTAAGATCTAAAAGTGTTAGGTCTTTCTGTAAAGATATACTCAAAAGTCTTGGGTCTAGCTGAAATGTTTGACCTAAGAATACTATTTATAATATTAATAATAACATTAAACTTACATTACTTAAGTTTAAGTGAGTCTGACTGCAACACCGGGCCCTGGAGCATTAGATGTGAGTCTAGCTATAAGGTCGTGTTATAAAAGTATAATAATTAAATAGATTAATTAAAAAAACAAAGAAAAAAACCATTAGGAAGAAAAAACTAATGAAGAAAAAAAAACTGAATTAACTAGGTTAACTCTTCAAACCTGGGATTCGTATAATGAAAGTTTGATAACTAAATAGAATAAAATAATTGACGGGTTTACCTAAAATTAACTGGGTTAACCTGTCAAGCCCGGAATACGTGTGATGGGTTTACCTAAAATTAACTGGGTTAACCTATCAAACCAAGTTAACCTGTCAAGCCCGAAATACGTGTGATGAAAGTCTGACAATTAAATATAAAGAAATTTAACATTAACAAACTAGACTAAATGAAAAAATTAATTAAAAAGAAAAAAATCCGAGTTAACTCGTTAAATTAGGCTAATTCATCAAACCCGAGATCAAACAAAAAAGTTTTATTAAAAGAAAAAAACAAAAAAATTAAAAAAAAACAATTTAGTATTTTATTTAATTTTTAGTATATAATATAATATAATTATAATATAATAATATAATATATTAAAGATGGGAAAGTGAAAAGTGTGGGAGAGCTACCGTAATTTTTCCATGTCTGTTAGAGTATTTTATAATATTATTTTTAATTCTGAGTAATATAGCTTAATTGATTAGATTCCGAATTTATTTTTTAAATATTACTAATTCAAGTCTTATAAAATTTAGAAACACTAAAAATTTATATAATTATTAATTTAAAGGTTCATAAAATAAATTAAAATATATATAAATTGATTTAAATATTTATATTAATCTAAAAAAATATATGATATCTTTTTTTGATAAATTTAGGTATTTATCCATTATAATAATTTTGTTTTTAACATATAACTTAGTGGAAAAGCTAAGTGAGTTAGGTGAATTCACATGCAAAGCAGGTTGAGTAGTTGACCCAACAAGCCAGTTGCAAAGCAATATGTTGACAATTGAATCATGGCAGCAGAGCAGCAGCCCGTGACCTCCGGCCACCGCCGCTCCTCGTGTATGAAGAAGAGTCTGCACTTTGACTTGCTTTGCTCACTTTTCCATGTTTCTGTATTTTGGTTCCCCATCCACAGGGAGAGAGCGTCCCTTCACGTCCTTGTCGACAATGCTAATTTGCTAAATTTTTATATACGGAGTTAAGAACCGAAAAATTCTATGATATTCAAGTTATTTTTATAGTATTAGAAGAGAAATAAATGGAAAAGGGATATAAAAACAAAAAATAAAAAATCACATTCGTTCTCATTAAAAAAATGATAGGAATTCCTCTCTTTTATTTCTCTATTTTTCTTATGTTTAGCTCACTAAATATTTGTAATTACAATTTGAGTATCATAGAATTTCCGTGAGACCTTACCTTTTATTTTTAATTTTATGTTTGAAATGGTTACTTGCTATTTGTTTTTGAAAAGAACATCAAATTTACTATTATGATAGTCTCAATTTTGTAATAAAACTATTTTTTTGTAGCAATTCCACAATCATATTATTTTGATTTTTCAACAAAAATTTCTTACAAAATCACTCAAAATAAAAATTTAATTTTTTTACAAAATGAGAGTTTTTTTTTAAAGGTTCAACTTAGATAAAAGAAAATATTGATAGAAAGTCTTAAAAATATGAAAGTCTTTAATTAAGAATCTTAAAAGTATCATGTAAAAAAATGAGTGAGGCAAAAACATAACGTAATAGAAAGATATTAATACAAAAAAACAATAAAACATCATTTTAAAAATAAAATCAAAATGAGAGGAACACCTAGAAGTAATAATTTTTAATTTTCAATTGAAATAAAATATTGTATTATAATGTTTATTATAATTTTTTTTTAATTATACTGGTTACTTACAGACATGAAAGTTTTTATTTTTAATCTTATTTCTATGTATTGTAACAATTAGATTTTTATTTAAATTACTCACAACTTGATTTTTTATGAACAAACTAAACATAATGAGATTAATTGTTATTTTACTAGTCATCATCTTAAACATGACATCATTATTCTGTTTTTTGTTTCTTTTTTTTTGTAGATTTCTTTACCAAGTTACATTTTATTTTTAGTTTTTATTTTCTAGTTGGTAAAAATCTCAATATTTGTGGCTACCGCATCGTGAGTTTGAAAAAAAATATTAAAAATAATAATTTTAGTTTAGTTTATATATAATATATTTATATTTATATTTAGGTTAAAGTAACACTTCATAATATCGTGATTAATGAAACCCTAATCTCTTTTCTTTTTATGTTTTTTTTTTTGTTAATTTGAATTACTTTAACAACCGGATGGCGGGATCAAAATTGAGATTGAATAATGTGAAATGGTGGATTGAAGTGAAAATATTAGTAACTTGGTACATTGTTATGCAGGGAGATGTTTATTAATTTTGGATTAGAATTGTTATATTGTTAAATATAAAATAAAAAAAAATTCTTGTGATAATTACATGTGAAATAATATTGAATGGTAAAACTATTTAAGGATGTTACATTAGTTCTTTCTTGAAAACTCACTAATTAAAAAAATTAAAAGGAAATGTATACATATATTTTTTGGAATTGATACAAGATGTGGAAAAATCATTTATTAAAAACTTTTTTCCATGTAGAATTTTAAGTAAGTATTTAAGAATATGGTAATCATTATTTTTTAAAATGTTTTTCATTTGAAAATTTATAAAAAAATATTTTTTTTTATTTTAAAAAATTACTTTTAACATCAACATATCAAAATAATCCAAAAATATATAAAAATAATTTTTTAAAAATTAAAATTTTAAAAAACACAATTTTTACTGTATTACCTAACACTCATCAAATTAAAAAAATTTCCACGTATGATTGAGACATGGGGGTGTTCGGTTCCAAACGCATATTTCAAATATGGAACTTGACTTCCAAATTCTAATCTTTTTTTTTTTTTTATTAATGTGGGTGTCTGGGCCAGCTTGCGCGCACCACGACTAATCCCACGGGCTCTAAAGTTAACGACCATGTAAGCTTCCAGTGACCATCATATGAGCAATCAAGGATTCGAACCTGAGACCACAGAGAGAACAAACCCCTTAGTCTCAAGTCTTTACCACTTGACCACCATGCTTATGTATTGTAACAATTAGATTTTTATTTAGATTACTCACAACTTGATTTTTTATGAAAAAACTAAGCACAATAAAATTAATTATTATTTTACTAGTCATCATTTTAAACATGACACCATTACTCTGCTTTTTATTTCTTTTTTTTTTTGTAGATTTCTTTACCAAGTTACATTTTATTTTTAGTTTTTATTTTCTAGTTGGCAAAAATCTCAATAATTGTAGCTACTACATCGTGAGTTTAAGAAGAAATATTAAAAATAATATTTTTAGTTTAGTTTATATATAATATATTTATATTTATATTTAGGTTAAAGTAACACTTCATAATATTGTGATTAATGAAACCTAATCTCTTTTCTTTTTATATAGATATTTTTTTGTTAATTTGAATTACTTTAACACCTAGATGACGAAATCAAAATTGAGATTGAATAATTTGAAATGGTGGATTAAAGTGAAAATATTAGTAACTTGGTATATAGATGTTTACTGATTTTGGATCAGAATTGTTATATTATTAAATATAAAATAAAAAAAATTCTTGTGATAATTACACGTGATGTAATATTGAATGGTAAAACTATTTAAGGATGTTACATTAGTTCTTTCTTGAAAACTCACTAATTAAAAAAATTAAAAGGAAATGTATACATATATTTTTTGGAATTGATACAAGATGTGAAAAAATCATTTATTAAAAACTTTTTTCCATGTAGAATTTTAAGTAAGTATTCATAATCATTATTTTTTAAAATGTTTTTTACTTGAAAATTTATAAAAAAATATTTTTTTATTTTAAAAAATTACTTTTAACATCAACATATCAAAATAATCCAAAAATATATAAAAATAATTTTTTAAAAATTAAAATTTTAAAAAACACAATTTTTACTGTATTACCTAACACTCATCAAATTAAAAAAATTTACACATATGATTGAGACATGGGGGTGTTCGGTTCCAAACGCATATTTCAAATGTGGAACTTGACTTCCAAATTCTAATCTTCAATCCTCCCATGGCAGCATGAGCATTTGCAAGCCAACCCCTTAAAATCAAAGCATCAAACTTGCCAACCAGAACTATTTCATTTATTTTTCTCAGCTGGAGACAAATACTGGGTATGACAAAACTGGCAAGTAAAACAAAACAAGAGCAAAGTGATCAAACAAAAACCATTCATGTTCCGAAGGTCAGCTCTTCTGTCTTCATTCCAAGTCACATACACACGGCTATTTCTCACAAATGTATGTATGTGTCTGTAATTTATTTTATTTTTTCCCCAATAAATAATGGATTCGCTTCTTTGTTTTTTTTTGTACTTTCGATATCTCTGGATTATGCTATTTGTTGCTTTCTCTTATAGTTTGTCTCAACCCTTCTTTTTTTTAAATGAGATTTTTTTAACTTAATATTTTTAAATATTTTAATAATATATTGATATTAAAAATAATTCTTTAATATATTTTTTAAGTCAAAATCATTTTAAAAATTACGTTACCTAATTCCACTTTAGCTTTAATGAGAGAAAACGTGTCAAATTTTGAAATCGGTCTGAAGGCATTTGTGGAAATGTTGACCACTGTGGGCAACTCGGTTACTGTACTTATAAATGCTATTGAGGTTTTTTTTTTAAAAAAAGGTGTTTTTAAAAGAATTTAATTTATTTTAAATTAATATGTTTTTAATATTTTTAAATTAATTTTAATATATTTTTAATGTTTTTAAATTAATTTTATAGGTTGATGTTAAAAATTATTTTTAAAAAATAAAAAATTAATAATTTTTATTTTAACACTAAAAATTATTTAAAAAACAACTAAAGTCACCGTGAAACAATCTCTTAATGCTTTGCTCAAACCTTTGGAGTGGTTTCTTATCTTAGTTTTGGACTAGTAAAGTTTCTTTCCTTAGTAAAACATCTCCAAAGCTTTGATTTTGAGATCTTATTTAACTGTTAATTGTTGCTTAAGTTTCTAAATGTTGCTTTATGTTGGCTTATAGTGCATTGGGATGTGTGTTTGAAGTTGCTTCATTTG